ACTTTCTTCTACGAATAAATTTTTGCGGACAAATATTTTTAAGAAAAAATTAGTCCGCAAGTATTTGCGGACTAATTTTAGAGAAAGATATTTGTCCGCAAATATTTGCAGAATATTAATAACCCCTTTAAGGAATACGAAAAAATTCTGCGACGCTACAAATGTGCTCACATGTATTTTTGGTTAAACGAGGCTACCAAAGTATTACACAGAAATTTGTTTTCCTTTGTATCAAAGTTAAGTGAAGGATTTTTGTTTGAAAATGAGGAGAATGCTGTAAAATGGTTAAAAAGTATTAAAATTGCTAGAGAAATTATTCCAATTTTAGAAATGTTGAAAATTAAAATAAACTTTTCTGAAGAGAATAAATTAAATGAAAAAGAGGAGAATAAAAAAAGAGAAAGCACAGAAATTCCGGAAACATCGAATAAAACAAAAGAAAAACAAGTTGTTTTAGAAAATGGACACGAAAACATTTCTAGTGTTCAAGAAAACGGAAAACTTGATGTTTGCCCAACAACACAACAATGGAGTATTTGGCGAGGCAAAGTTCGTCAAGTTGTCCAACAAACTTTTAAAGCATTTTCTAATTTAAATAAATTATATAAAAATGGAGAGAGGATAAAAATAAAACATTCAATGCGTTCCAAAGCCACAGATGAGAGAATGTCGAAAATATATAAAATGTTAAATAGAAGTGATGCTTTTGATTTAATGATAGAATTAATTGAGGAATTGAAGGACATTAAGGAGAGAAATTAAAAAAGGAATTGAAGGAAGATGACAAAGAATATTTTTTATTTTAAACATTTATTTTCCTTTTTTATTCGCACAAAATCCAAACCTCTACAAAATCACTTGAAAAACACAAAAATATTCGAATTTTTCATAAAAATTCACTTATATATTTATCTGAAACATTAATTTAGATAGGAAATTTTTTCAAACGTTTAATTGTTTAACTGATCCAGAAAAAATCGGATATTTCCTCCCACCCCCCCCTACTTTGTACATACTAATTTTGTCCCCATATGTATTTATTATGTATTTATCAAATATCTTTATCATATCCATTGGGATTATTCAAAAATTTTTCATTATTTTCCAAAAATTTCTCCATGTACATTCTCCAACCCAAAATTTTTTTAAATTTTCAATTTCATTAAACTCCCTTTGTAAATATTTTAACATCCATGTATAAAAATGCTTTATTTTATTCATTGATCTGACTTTTAAAAAAATAATATTTTCTTGATGGATGCATAAACAATTGAATAAATAATAATAATAATGCTCCAAAAACAGAAACAAAAATTGTGTCACAAAAAGGAAAAGAAAATAATAGAGAAAGGATAGAAGAAAAACTGTTCGCAAATCTTTTAAAAAAATTTTTAAAGGGCTGAGGAAAAAAATTTCAAAAATAAATTCTTTTCTTTTTCATTTTTATTCCAAACAAAAATTCAAATAATTTAAAAAAAGATAAGCAAACAGAACAAAAAAACATAAATAATTAATAACCATAACCATCAATATAAATATACCTTTTTTCAACCCTCTCCAAAAAATTTTGTGTTGAAAAAAACTTTTTTTTCCATTCTTTTATTTTTTATCCATCCATCAAATATTTTTAATAATTATTCCAATCACTGTCTCTCAGTCAAGTAACGACGGCCTGACTCTGAGGAACGAACGCTGAAAAAAATTTTTTTTAATTTAAATTTAATATTTCTCTCTAAATAGAAATGGAAAACTAAAAGTGGACCTCATTTTTCGATACCCCTTTGTGTCCAAAAATAGCAACCTATGGTGTTTTAAATTTGGGAATGTCTTAATTAGGGGTGTTCTGGACCAAGGCCTAGATTTTTCCCGTACTAGAGTCCAGTCCCAGGCATTTTTTTGACCTTCCTGGGTTTTTCCTGTAATACAGGCCCAGGATCCGGCCCATATCAATAAATCAAACCCAGAGTCCAGGAACAGGCCTAGACATTTCAAAAATCTCGATATCTAGTGTCAATATCTTAGATTGTGGGTGCCATAAAACAAAATTAGAGTTCCTCCTAATTTTCCATTTATTTAATTCTAAATTTTGTAGAAAATTAAAGAAAGTATCCAGAATTAAGCGGAAAATATTTAAACCTCTGCTGAAGCAAAAACTGCGCCATATGAATTTGATGCGTTGTGCCGGTTATAGTAATGATGCGCTCATCTGTACCAAATGGATCAGTTTGGGTATCAATCTCAATTCGAGCTCCAGAATCGTTTCGAATACGATTGATACATTCCCCACGTTTCCCAATAATTGTGCCGCTAAGTTTGCTTGGAATTGTGACCTAATAAATTTATTTTTTATTTAAAAATTCTAAAATTAAACCTGTGTTGTAGTTATTTGGTCGCCTCCTGGACCTCCAGGATAGGGACCAGGAGGTCCCATCAACGGCGGCCCGCCTGGAGTATGCGTTGGAGGACCACCTGGGCCTGGTCCAAATCCTGCATAGCCAACTCCTGGCTGTGGTGGTCCGTGATGAGGAAAGTCAAAATGTGGAGGTGGCATAGGAGGAGCTGGGGCTTAAAAAGTAGAACAAAATTTTAATCAAAAACTTAACAACTAACCTCCCATGTTACCGCCCTCAAAACCGCCATAAGCGTGACACAATTGCGGATTATAAGCAGCTGAATCGTATGGTACATGTGGTCCTTTGAATGGAATATCCTTGACAAAATCTATGAGGATTTTAACAGCAGCAGGTAATTTGGCAGAATCACCAGTGATCACTAAAATAATTTGGAAAAATAATTTTAATTTTGTGATTTTTAAGTCTCAAGTAATGAAAAGGTTTTCAGAGTTACCAAAGGATATCATGAGGAATTTCGACAAAATAAATTTCTGAGGATAGAAGCCGAAAAAAACTAAAATCTATACCAAAAACTTCACTAGAATAATGTATCAATCTCTGGTCACCTCGTCAAACAACCCTTATGTTAACATAAAAATCTTACAGCAAACACGATCACTAGACATTGGACAACATTCTTGGAAGACTTTAAAGCGACATTGAGTCTGTTCACGAAGTTCTTTAATTTTACTGCCACCACGACCAATAATTGCCCCTGCATGTGACTGATGAACCAAAACTTTAACATCAACTTCTCCACGACTAGCCTTCTCTCCCTTCAATTATTTAATCAATTTATTTGTAAAATTAATAAAGAAAACCTCAGAAAGTTTATTCAAAATTTCCAAAACGCATTGTTCAATACTATCCTGATGGCAAATGATTGTCAGCACACTAAATTTTAAAAAAATTTTAGAGGTTATCAAAAGAATTTTACAATTCCTAAAGGTCAAAAAAATTGAAAAAGAATAAGGAACAAATGGAAAGAAAAATACAAGGGTGGTTAAAAGTCCGAACCCAATAAATAAAATCAGTACACCAAGAGATTTTATCAAAAATTTTTATTCTTTTTGACATTTAAGAATTGTAAAAAAAATAGGACAAGGGCGTGCCAAGGAAGGATTTTTAGAGGATTGGCTAGCATTATAGAAATTTTTTGGGGAATAGCAATTTAAAAATAATAGATTGAGAGGAGGGGACCCTGGTACGCCCTCGAAATATAAAAATATAAAGTCCACGAAAGGGAGAAGAGATTACCGCTCGGGGGTGCTCCTATCTGGGACATTGATGTTGGCATCGTACTGAAAATGGAGAGAGGTTAGTTCCGGACCACACAGTGAAAATTGCTTCTCGCCAATGGCGAAGATTAAAAATTCTATAGCGCTATTTAGCACTTAAATTACCAAGCCAGTTTTGTTTTTTTGTGTAAAAACTACTAATAAATCTTTCTATAAAACGAAAAAACAAGAACGTGAATAAAATCTGAAAATGATAATTATAGCCATTAAAAACTAGAAATCGAGATTTTGCAAAATCACGGAGACTGGACTGCTAAATAAAGTGGCCTAATAGAGAATGGATCCTATTACCAAGAGAAATCTAAATCCACAGAAAACCTAAAAATGAGATAGCCCATAGACGAAAACCTAGTCCAGCTCTAAAAAATAACCATAAAAATAGGCTAAAATCTGATCATATTAAATAAAACATAGTAAACGAAAACTTCCCTTTTTTGTAATCTTCCCAAAAAAATTATCTAAATTAAAAATACCTTCGCACGTAAAGATTTGATATATTCTCCACCACGACCGATAACTGCCCCAGCAGAACGGCTCGGAATAAGCATACGTAATTCAAATTTGCCAGCAGCCAAAGCTTCATGGTACATATCAATGCCATCATGCCCACCACCGCCTCCCCCTCCTCCACCTCGAAAACGTTTAGGTCCTCCTCCACCAGAACTTCCTCCATTCGAATAATGTTGATTCATTCCAGGATACATTTGGGCGTTTCCGTTATCTAGAGGATAATTAGTAAATCGTCTCTTCATAATATAAATAATTAAAGAATCTTAGACAAACTAAAAATATTCATGTGCTTGAATGATTGAGCTTGCCTCTACTGAATTCAGAAGAAGAAAGTACACGCGCGTAGTGATGGATCGGGTTGATATTAAATGTGATGAAGAGGAAATAATAATGTGGGGACAGAGAAAAATGTGTCTAAAAATAGGCAAAGGAAAAGAATTATTATTTATTAACACCTAAAACGAGGAAAAGCGGATAATTAATTAAAGTTGATAAAATGAATCCCGCAAAAGATCAAAAAGATTTGTAAAAAATTAAGAAATCAAGAATAACCCGAAAATCCCAAAAAATAAATTGACCAAAAATATTAGACAATATGAAAAAATTTTGACAACTTGCCAATTAGACGAAATGCCAATCAGTGCAAAATTTTTCAATTAACCAAAAATCGACGGAAAAATACAATTTTCTTGTTCAACAAATTTGTCATGGAGAATATTTTTCTTTAAATTTTATGTAACCCTTTTCTACTTTTTTAGACAATAATATTGCTTTAAATCCTTCTTTTTTCTTCAAAAAAATGACTTCTGCAGGTTTTAGTGATGGTAGACCTGTTTGGATTCCTCTTGAATCAAATCCTGAAGCTTTTAACAAGGTTTCCCATTTTATTTATTTTATAATTAAATATATTTTTAGTATATTAATGGACTTGAAGTTGGAAAAGTAGAATGTGTCGAAATTTATGGATTTGAGGATGAATTGCTTGCTTTTGTGCCAGGACCCCATTTGGCGTTGATTTTTTGTTTTCCATATTCTGAGACTTCTTACTCGTCTGTAGCTAAAGTTTATTCTGATTTAATTGCTGAAGGGAAGGATAAGGTGCCTGAAGGAGTTTTCTTTATGAAGCAGAAGATACATAATGCGTGCGGGACTTTTTCGCTTTTGCATTCGTTGACTAATAATTTGGAGAGTATTGACATAGGTAAGAGTTTTTGTTAATTGGATGATTTTCGCTTGGGTTTCTACTTTTTGGATTGTTTGGTCATAAAAGCTCTATGGTCCGGGGTATTTTAAAAAAGCCTCGTAGCTTGTGTCTTTACTGGTATTTCGGCTATAATTTTCGGGGTCTTTGGAACAGTTTTTGTGTATAGCTAATTAAATTATGTCCGAGCTATCAATTTTTAGGCAAAGGATCTTTCGCCGATTGGTATGCTAAAGCCAAACCGTTGGGTGTCCAAGAACGTTCTGATTGTTTATTCAGCCACACTTCAATGGCACAAGCACATAAGAAATGTGCGGAAAGTGGAGAAACAGCAACACCTCCAGATACTCAAGTTGAATTTCATTTTATTGCTTATCTGCATTATGGAGGGCGTCTTTTGGAATTTGGTTTGATTTTAAAGTTTTGAAACACCGAAAAGACATTTTTGTAAAAACTTCTTGATTAGGGAATTTTTGCTTATTTTTTTCTTGATTAAAACTAGAAACCCATACGTGATCTCGAACAAATGTCCCGGTTATCGATTTTGATTCTTGTACTCCCTCCCAATTTTGCCTCTTAATTAAAACCCGTAGAAAAATGGAATGAAAACAAATGAAACTAGTAATTCAACAAGAAATTGATTTTTATAAATTTGTCCGCAAATATTATCCGCAAGTTTTTAAAATTTTTTCGGTTGAATTTTTCTTTTAATATGACCCAAAAATTCACAAAAAAATTTGTTTATTTTTTAGATTCGGCACAAAACTTTCCTCGTGATTGTGGACCTACCAGTCCAAGTAATTTATTGTCTGATGCTAGTAAACAATGCAAAAATCTCATGCAAAATCTCGGGGATATAGCTTGTAATGCTCTTGCTATTGTGCAAAAGAAAGGTTAATTAAATGATTAAATAGACATGAAAATGAGCTTTATAATATTCTTTTTTACTTGATGATTTTAAATAATATTTATTTAAATAAAATTTTTTAATAAAATTTTAAAAGAGTATCAGGAATTTTAATTAAGATTTTTTACACATTTTAATTTTGTTTTTCCTAATTTTAACTTTTCTGTGATCATTATCTTACATGTTTTTGGAAGTTAATTCCCTATTGTCTGAAATTTTTTAAAATATTAATTGAAATAATCTCTGCTTTTCCTTTCTTGAAGAGAAAAAAAATTTTAGTTGAACACATTAGGTTTGTCGGCAGTGCTTGGAAATTTCAAATTTGATCGTACTTGTAGGGCTTTAGTAAATCTAAATTTTAAATATCCTATTATAAGTTTTTGGGGAATTAAAAAAATCACTCATTTTCAAAAATTCAATTTAAAAATCGGTCGTCAGCAACCCTTGAATATGTATTAAATTATAAAATTAAACTCAACATAAGGGAGAAACATTTATATATTTTAAACATTATTTACAACACCAAAAAGCATAAAATACACAAAAAATCCTAACATATTTATTATACCTTTACATCTTCCTATATATATTATCAACAATTTTCTCAATTTGTTCAAATGTAGGCCTTTCATCCCTTTTATCGTCAAATTTCATACATGCTTCCATTAAATTACCAATAGTAACGGGCATTCCTTCAGGCTTATTTAATCTCTTCCTTTTAGCTTTTGGAACATCAATGACTTGTTCATAGACCTTGTAAATAATAAAAATTTAGAATCTGAATCTTTTTCAGCATTCTTTTCCTTAATAAGTAAATAAATGGACAGAATTTTTACTCATTTCCTTTCACTCAAAATGCACGTAACTATTTTATGGAAGGAAAAAATAAGTAAATGTGCCGTTAGATTCAGACAGGGCCAAAATTTAATAAAAAATAAATCTTAAACCCCACCTTTCTCGCACTCCATTTAGCATAAGGAAATTCATATGGACGATTGAAGACTTCAAAAAGTGTTATCCCAAAAGCTTAAATTCCTTTACATTTTTACAAAAAAATTTTAAAAACTAACCATAGACATCAGTCAATTTGTCAACAGACTTGCTTCTAAATGAATCAGGATCCAACCAGCGAAGATTTGTTGGTTGGTCTGTGTCAATTGTATGTTTTTGGCCACGCTTACTTAACCCAAAATCGGCAACCTAAGGAAGTAAATAATTTATAAAAAGTTTTTCTCTCGGACAAACCTTTACAACCATATTGTTTATTGTCTTTTGACGTCCATTCCAATTAATTAGTAAATTTCGAGTAGCCAAATCCAAATGCAAAAATGGAGGGTTTTGTGAATGCAAATACTTCATGCCTCTAGCAGCGCCAAGAATTATTTTTGTTCGCATTTTATCATCACTATCTGCTCCTTCCTCTCTTAAAAAACTGTCCACAGCTTTTCCATTGATGTATTCCAATACAATGCTGAATGGCTGAAAGAATAAAGAGATAAAAAATTTATTACAAAGTTTCAGGAATTTAGGGTGGAACCGGAATTTAGGAGGAATTTAGGGAGGACCATAATATCGTATATGTCTGGACGGACACATGTTTAACGTAAAAACGAAGATGCCAGTACAAATGATTGGTTATTGAAAAAGGACCCGAACACCCAGCGTTTGCCTTTTGGCGTTCATCAAAAGCAGCCAACTCCCAGAAAATATTTTTTAATTCAAAAAGAACCTTGCTATCATTAACAATTCCATAAAATCTGATAACATGTTCATTTCTTAATCCCGTCATTATACGTGCCTCTGACCACAAATTGTCTATCTGCTCTTTCTTCATATCCTTCCCAACCAATTGTTTAATAGCTACATCAATAACTGTCCCACCATCCATTAATTCACCTTTATAGACAACTCCATAGGCGCCTTCACCAAGTTTGTCTCCAAACCAGACTTTTGCTGAAGAAAGTAACCAATGTGGGCGAAGAATTGGAGCCTCCAAACGGTCACAGTCTCCTTTAAGAATTATTGCCTGTTTTGTGCACTTAAATGTTAAAAGAAATTTTTGAGAAAAAAACTGAAAAATAAACCCAATAAAATTCAACCAATTCTTTAGATGTTGGCTCAGTTGATTTTTGACCTGCTAGATGCCATCCAGAATTATTCTTTTGAAGCACGAAATTAGATATCTTAAAATAGCAACATTACTGGACTTAAGATAGAAATTAGTGGGTTCCGTTAAATTAGTCCCTAAAATGGAAACTGAGAATAAGTGAAGATATCCACCAAAATTTTTGGGGACCCAAAAATGCCCTCAAGTCTTATTCTTTATTGTAAAATAACCTTTGCAGGACCACCATAAAGCGTCAAACTCAAAGAATCATTCTCTAAACATCGCAACATAAATTCGTTTTTATTCTTTAAAAGTTCCAAAGCATCAGCATCAGGCAAATAACCGCACCAGAAAGGAAATTTTGTGTGATCCTCTTTAATATTTGAATGTTTTGCTCCCATTGGGGATTTTAGAAAGAGAATTTCGAATCTGAAAATTAATAAATTATGAGACGAGAATCGGAAAATAGAAAAGGGAGATAAATGAAGTACGGAAAACTAGTAAGAGTTATCTTTAAATAGTATCGGATAAGCTTATGTTTAGACAAAAATGCTTTGAAAGTTTTATAAGTAATTAGGTAGCTAATTACAATATAAATGAAATACAAAAATTTAATTACTTTTATTTTTTTCTGGAAGTCTTTCCATCGACAAAAATATATATTGACGTGATGAATTAGTAAGTAAAAGCTTTAATCACTTACAGCCTCCCGTAGAGGGAATAAATGGTATGCCTTTAACATCCGGCAATTCCGTTTGGACATACGCTTCATGTCAAATTCCAAGGGGAAGTCAATGGCTTCACTATAATAAAAAATTGATTTTTGGTGCATTCTGTTATTATTTACTTTGTTATCGACTCATCCTTATACAATCTAAGGATGAGGATTTCTGGCATTTGCCAGATTCTGTCTCCTCTTCAATTAAAACGGTGCAATTTACACAAGGTTTCATCATTGTTCTGAAGTACCGATTCAGACCAGATAAAATATTGTTATCATCAAGATTAATTAAAACTGCTATGTCGAGCTAAAATTTTCGTTGAAACAATATTTAATCGATTTTATTAAAAATTTTGTTTTTTAAAAATTTTCTTTATGAAAAAGACCTTATTTGCGCATAGGACCAACCAGCGTTCGGCGCGAATTGCTGACAAGTAACTAAGCTTTTTGGGTATAAAGGCTGACTCCAGCGTTATTACAACTGATTTAAATTGATTTGGGTCAATTTCCCAGTGTTTGAAAACTTCAGACTCAAATATCCATTCTCAGACTTAAGTGACACCTTTGAAAATATCTTCATTCGATTCCTCATTCAATTCCCTATCGAATGACACCTCAAGCGTCTTTCTATGACTAATACTTCAAAAGTTATAAATTTTTGAAAAAAAAACAAAAAATAATAGTAATAACATGCGGGCCTTCGGCCCGCATGTTAATAATTAATACTAAAATATTTTTCAGATTCTCGCGGTTGCCTCCGGCAACGCGTTTAGTGCAACGCGTTCCGAATTTAAAAAATTGAAATTCTGGCGGTTGCCTTCGGCAACGTATTCTTTGCAACGCGTTACATGCGGGCCTTCGGCCCGCAATTTTTCTGCAACGGGTTCCGAGTTAAAAAAATAATTTTTAATTCTGGCGGTTGCCTCCGGCAACGCGTTTTCTACACGCGTTCCGAATTTTTAAAAAATAATTTTTAATTTTGGCGGTTGCCTCCGGCAACGCGTTTTCTGCAGCGCGTTGCTATTTCATCAAAAGACAATTTTTAATTCTCGCGGTTGCCCCGGCAACGCGTTCCAAATTTTTAAAAAATAATTTTTAATTCTGGCGGTTGCCTCCGGCAACGCGTTCCAAATTTTTAAAAAATAATTTTTAATTCTGGCGGTTGCCTCCGGCAACGCGTTTTCTGCAACGCGTTTCGATTTCCTCAAAAAATAATTTTTAATTCTGGCGGTTGCCTCCGGCAACGCGGTATCTGCAACGTGTTACGAATTTTTTAAATTAAATTAAACGTAAAATTAACTTATAAATTAATTTGCCTTATTTTTATAAAATTTTATAAAAATTTTCAGTCCCAGACTGAAAGTTATAAATGAGACTCAAGTGTACTTTTTACTAAAAATTCATTTTTTAATATTCTTATTAATTTTTAGAATTTTTTAAATTCATTTCCACTGATTTTAGCATTCAGACTCAAATATTCCACCCTCAGACTCAAGTGACCCCTTCAAAAAATTTTCAAAAAATTCGCTTGATTTTTACACGTCGAATGACACCTCAATCATATTTTTCCGATAACTACTTCAAAAGTTACAAAAAACGCCTCACCGTTGCTTAACTTTCCAGATCGGACGGGTTAGATCGGCAAATTTAAAAAATTTTCCCCAAAATTTTAATTTCTTAAAAAATTCATAACTCGGTCCAAAAAACACATTTTAACATAAAACAAAGCTTATTCGATGCAGAATTTAATTCTCTATCTTTCATTTCCCAATACTTTTCTTCTATCTCCAAAACAAAATATAGTTAAGGTCACTTATATGCAACTTCCTCAAAAACGCACTTTTTACTCCATATCTTTTTTTCCATTAATCCAATCAACATGAAACCAACTTTTTTCTTATGAAATCCACCACGCTCTACAACTTTTCTCCCAACCACTTTTTGCTCCGACTCCTCTAAACACCTTAAATCCAAAGTTACCACTTTGACATAAAAGTTTGTCTTCAGCACATCTACCCTTCCCGTTGTCCGAACGACTCCAACTTTTTTTCTATCATATTCCAAATGTTCTGAAGATGATACCTTGTAACTGACCCAACTTTCCCCGAATTCATCTTTCATCTCAAATTTCACTTCAAAGATTCGAAAATTCATGTTTTTTCGAAATATCTAATTTTTTCGCTTCTTGACCCCCAATTTTCGGATTTTTCCTGAAAACTACATAGTATTGCGCATCTATAGCAAAAAACCCCACTCCGATACACCCACTCAAAAGCTCTGGGGACTTTTTTTTAGCTGACTGCCTTTTTACTATTATATATAGATAACCAGCGTTCGGCGCGAATTGCTGACAAGTAACTAAGCTTTTTGGGTATAAAGGCTGACTCCAGCGTTATTACAACTGATTTAAATTGATTTGGGTCAATTTCCCAGTGTTTGAAAACTTCAGACTCAAATATCCATTCTCAGACTTAAGTGACACCTTTGAAAATATCTTCATTCGATTCCTCATTCAATTCCCTATCGAATGACACCTCAAGCGTCTTTCTATGACTAATACTTCAAAAGTTATAAATTTTTGAAAAAAAAAAACAAAAAATAATAGTAATAACATGCGGGCCTTCGGCCCGCATGTTAATAATTAATACTAAAATATTTTTCAGATTCTCGCGGTTGCCTCCGGCAACGCGTTTAGTGCAACGCGTTCCGAATTTAAAAAATTGAAATTCTGGCGGTTGCCTTCGGCAACGTATTCTTTGCAACGCGTTACATGCGGGCCTTCGGCCCGCAATTTTTCTGCAACGGGTTCCGAGTTAAAAAAATAATTTTTAATTCTGGCGGTTGCCTCCGGCAACGCGTTTAGTGCAACGCGTTCCGAATTTTTAAAAATAATTTTTAATTCTGGCGGTTGCCTCCGGCAACGCGTTTTCTGCACGCGTTCCGAATTTTTAAAAAATAATTTTTAATTCTGGCGGTTGCCTCCGGCAACGCGTTTTCTGCACGCGTTCCGAATTTTTAAAAAATAATTTTTAATTCTGGCGGTTGCCTCCGGCAACGCGTTTAGTGCAACGCGTTCCGAATTTTTAAAAATAATTTTTAATTCTGGCGGTTGCCTCCGGCAACGCGTTTTCTGCACGCGTTCCGAATTTTTAAAAAATAATTTTTAATTCTCGCGGTTGCCCCGGCAACGCGTTCCAAATTTTTAAAAAATAATTTTTAATTCTGGCGGTTGCCTCCGGCAACGCGTTTTCTGCAACGCGTTTCGATTTCCTCAAAAAATAATTTTTAATTCTGGCGGTTGCCTCCGGCAACGCGGTATCTGCAACGTGTTACGAATTTTTTAAATTAAATTAAACGTAAAATTAACTTATAAATTAATTTGCCTTATTTTTATAAAATTTTATAAAAATTTTCAGTCCCAGACTGAAAGTTATAAATGAGACTCAAGTGTACTTTTTACTAAAAATTCATTTTTTAATATTCTTATTAATTTTTAGAATTTTTTAAATTCATTTCCACTGATTTTAGCATTCAGACTCAAATATTCCACCCTCAGACTCAAGTGACCCCTTCAAAAAATTTTCAAAAAATTCGCTTGATTTTTACACGTCGAATGACACCTCAATCATATTTTTCCGATAACTACTTCAAAAGTTACAAAAAACGCCTCACCGTTGCTTAACTTTCCAGATCGGACGGGTTAGATCGGCAAATTTAAAAATTTTTCCCCAAAATTTTAATTTCTTAAAAAATTCATAACTCGGTCCAAAAAAACACATTTTAACATAAAACAAAGCTTATTCGATGCAGAATTTAATTCTCTATCTTTCATTTCCCAATACTTTTCTTCTATCTCCAAAACAAAATATAGTTAAGGTCACTTATATGCAACTTCCTCAAAAACGCACTTTTTACTCCATATCTTTTTTTCCATTAATCCAATCAACATGAAACCAACTTTTTTCTTAAGAAATCCACCATGCTCTACAACTTTTCTCCCAACCACTTTTTTCTCCGACTCCTCTAAACACCTTAAATCCAATGTTACCACTTTGACATAAAAGTTTGTCTTCAGCACATCTACCCTTCCCGTTGTCCGAACGACTTCAACTCTTTTTCTATCATATTCGAAATATGCTCTAGATGATACCTTGTAACTGACCCAACTTTCCCCGACTTCGTCTTCATACTCAAATTTAACGTCAAAGTTTTGAAAAAACACGTTTTTTCAAAATATCTCGTTTTTTCGCTTCTTGACCCCCAATTTTCGGATTTTTCCTGAAAACTACATTGTATTGCGCATCTATAGCTTTTTTCCCCACCCCTCTACGACTTTTCAAAACCCCGGAGGACTTTTTTTTAGCTGAGTGCCTTTTTACTATTATATATAGATAACTAGTTGTGCCCATTGGGGTATGGCGGCGTAGTGCGTATGCAATTCCTATTAGGATACTTTAGGTTTAATAGCGTTCTGCCCGTTGGAAAGCCTAACGGCTTTGGGGCGCGCTTCGCGCGCTGCTAGAATGTTTGGATGCCTGTAAAGAAAGGTTTAGCCATGCCTTTTCATTGCTTAGGGCCTTCGGCCCTCGCCGGTAAAGTTTTGCTTTGCCTTTTCATTGCTTCGGGCCTTCGGCCCTCGCCGGTAAAGTTTTGCTTTGCCTTTTCATTGCTTCGGGCCTTCGGCCCTCGCCGGTAAAGTTTTGCTTTGCCTTTTCATTGCTTCGGGCCTTCGGCCCTCGCCGGTAAAGTCTTGCTTTGCCTTTTCATTCCTTCGGGCCCTCGGCCCTCGCCGGTAAAGTTTAGCCCTGCCTTTGACTATTGCTCTGCCTTTTAGATGTAATGAATGCTCGGGCCTTCGGCCCTCGCACGGCGGGCCTCCGGCCCGCCGTGCCCTGCCTTTGACTATTGCTATGCCTATTAGATGTAATGAATGCTCGGGCCTTCGGCCCTCGCCTACGGCGGGCCTTCGGCCCGCCAACTCCTCGGCCTTCGGCCTCTTGCTTTGGGTTTGACCGCTGTGGTGCATTTAGCAACTGTGGTAGCTTGTCACGAGGCATTTGGGGGCCTTCGGCCCCCAAACGCCAATGTTAGACTCTTGCTTTGGATTTAACCGCTGTGGTGCATTTGGCAACTGTGGTGGGTTGTCCCGAGGCGTTTGGGGGCCTTCGGCCCCCAAACTCCAATGTTAGACTCTTGCTTTGGGTTTAACCGATGTAGTGCATTCGGCAACTGTGGTGAGTTGTCCCGAGGCGTTTGGGGGCCTTCGGCCCCCAAACGCCAATGTTTGACTTTTACTTTGGGTTTGACGCCAATGTTAGACTCTTGCTTTAGACTCTTTTGACGCCAATGTTAGACTCTTGCTTTGGGTTTAACCGATGTGGTGCATTCGGCAACTGTGGTGGGTACTATTGCTCTGCGTTTTAGATGTAATGAAAGCTCAGGCCTTCGGCCCTCGCTAACGGCGGTCCTCAGGCCCGCCGTGCATTGTCTTTGACTGTTGCTGTGCCTTTTAGATGTAATGAATGCTCTGGCCTTCGGCCCTCGCCTACGGCGGGCCTCTGGCCCGCCGTGCCCTACCTTTGACTATTGCTCTGCGTTTTGGATGTAATGAATGCTCGGGCCTTCGGCCCTCGCCTTGGGGGCCTTCGGCCCTTAAACGCCAATGTTTGACTTTTACTTTGGGTTTAACCAATGTGGTGCATTCGGCAACGTGGTGGGTTGTCCCGAGGCGTTTGGGGGCCTTCGGCCCCCAAACGCCAATGTTAGACTCTTGCTTTGGGTTTGACCGCTGTGGTGCATTCGACAATTGTTGTGGGTTGTCCCGAGGCGTTTGGGGGCCTTCGGCCCCCAAACGCCAATGTTTGACTTTTACTTTGGGTTTGACCGCTGTGGTGCATTTGGCAACTGTGGTGGTTTGTCCCGAGGCGTTTGGGGGCCTTCGGCCCCCAAACGCCAATGTTAGACTCTTGCGATGGGTTTGATCGCTGTGGTGCATTCGACAACTGTTGTGGGTTGTCCCGAGGCGTTTGGGGGCCTTCGGCCCCCAAACGCCAATGTTAGACTCTTGCTCGGGCCTTCGGCCCTCGCCTACGGCGGGCCTTCGGCCCGCCCAACTCTTCCTCTCGGCGTTTTTTTGACTTTTGGCCGTTTCGGTGCCACACTCAAGTGCGGCACCAAAACGTCTCGGGCCTCCGGCCCTCGCCAACGGCGGGCCTTCGGCCCGCCCAACTTCTCCTTTCGGCGTTTTTTGACTTTTGGCCGTTTCAGTGCCACACTCAAGTGCGGCACCAAAACGTCTCGGTCCTTCGGCCCTCGCCTACGGCGGGCCTTCGGCCCGCCAAACTCCTCGGCCTTCGGCCTCGGTGTTTTTTTGATTTTTGGCCGTTTCAGTGCCACACTTGAGTGCGGCACCAAAACGACCTAACACAAAAAATTCCCCATGGTCGATTACCTATAACCCCTTTGGTCCCATTCAATTCGGCCCATCCGTTCCAAAGATAAAAATTTGGTCCGACACAATTGGACATTTCACCGTCAATCGGTGAATTTTTGCGCACCCATAAGTCCCCGGGGGTTCATCGGATTTTCGAAATTTTTTTTTTGTTGGATTAGCCTTAGTCCAACTTAGTTTCCTCCCAGCAAGCGTTTTTCGATCCGACGGACGGTTCAGGATTTGGCCACTTCGCCACGGCCGTTTCAGTGCCAAAAGTTCATCGTATGGTCCCAGCGGTATTTTTCCTGAAAAGCCCATTAAAACTACCCCCCAAGATGTCATACTCTCAGGAAGCGGCCGGCCTTCGGCCGGCCGATATTTTTTTTTCTAAAAAAATTTTCTATTTATTATAGGTATAATGTAATTAATCGTGAATTTCTTGGTAAATGTATTTGATTTTTGTATTGAATTGTTTTTGACGTACACTGAACCGGCCTAAATCTTTTCTGAAATTTTGAAAATTTAAAAATATTGGCATTATGTTATTTTTTGTTTTTGATTTTTTCTTGAATTGTTTTCTTTTTCTTTATTTTTTTAAAATTAATTTTTAAACTTTTTTCTTTAAATGGAAGTATTTCAAATCAAATATTCTTTTATTTAGTTTTTATTAACAATGTCATCTAATTTACTGGATTTGTTTTCAATCTCTCAAAATTTTGATCCATTAACAATTACTCAAAATGTGGATATTTTATCATTTTCCCAAAATATGGAGGTTTTGACTAAAGCAAATTTTGAGGTCAACAAAATTATTATTAAAATGGCTAGGTATTTTTGATAATTAATTTTAAATTTTTTAATAAATTTGTTACCCTATTCAAAAAAAATTTTAATCCTGGCAAACTTTGTTATTCTCTTTCTTTTTTTCAGAATAGAGGAGGGGAAGGAAACATCTTGAACTGTATCCAAAAATTTCGCATTTTTTGCATTTTTTCGTGTAGAGTAGGGTCGATAACCTAGTGCCAATTTTTAGCTTCTCTGGCCCTGACCCCCCAAATCGAAAAGTTATATGACTTCAAAGTTCATATTTAAGGCTAAAAATCTCCGAGGAAAAGTAATGGTTAGATAATTTCTCCAAAGCTTTCCTTTATTTCCCTCCATTTGCCTTCCAATGCTTTTTTGAATTCAAATTTTTCTCTCCCTCATTTTTTAATTTAGAGCATTCAAACAAACGGCGGAATCAATTAATGATTTAGAAGGTCGTCATTGGTCTTTTGATGGAAATATTAACACAACAAATATTCTTGGTGGTCAAAAAGAGTCATCTGGTCCAAAAAATCCAGAACTTTACAAAACTCAATGGTGTCGCAATATTTTGTTGAATGGAAATTGCAGGTTTGGTTATTAGGATAGTATTTGGGAGGGAAAGTTTTTAATTTTTTGTAATTTTTCTCTCTTCCTATTGGTAAATGCAGAAATTAATTGGCGTTGTGGAAGGTTTTTGAAATGTATTTTGAGTGGATAGTCCCACGCCTCGAGAAATTTTTAGGTAAAATGTCCACCGCTATATCCTCAATTTTTTAAAATAAATTTAAATGTTTCTACTCTTCCTGGAAACGAAAATTAAATTTTGTTTAATTTTGAAAAAAACAATTTTTTCAGTTTTGAAGATAAATGTTGGTTTGTGCATAACAGCTCTGAGCTTAGAAATGTTCCACAATTAAACAAAACAATTAACGTCGCTCCATTATTTAATCTTTCTTCGTCTGCTCTTTATAATCGTCGAATTGGTCGTTTTTGATTTTTTTTAAATTAAAGGAAGGAATTGAAATGAAAAACTCGCAAACAAATTTTTTTCGTTTTTTGGTATTCACTTTTAATATTTTTGGATTTTTTTAAAAATTATTGGCCCCCAAAATTAATACAAATTTACATTTTATTAAATACTCCCCTCATTTGATTTAATCATTTACTTTTATTGTCACAAACATTTAAAAAATTTTTTTTATTAAAATTTGTTGAGAAAACTGTGTTTAATTTAAATTTATTAAATAAGGAAATTTATATTTGGATTGGATTTCCTTGTAAAAGTTTAAATTACGAGTCAGAAAATTCAATCCAAGACAAAAATGTTTTCTTTTTATCCCCATTATTAGAAGCTAATTAAAGTAGGGGCTTCGAATATCCTCAATCTAACCACTTGACCTGCTTTACAATACGAAATGATATTGAGGAGTATTCACCTTGGAGCCATAGACGTGACCTATTGTTAATTTTTCAATTTTCTCTTCAGGAGAATCTGTAGAGGCAACAAGATTTGCTCTGTTTTTCTTTTGTTTCTTCGTAGATCGTCGTTTTTAAAAACATTCATACACTACAGGAAAAAAGTGTTGATCCCTGGGTATGGAAATTTTTTAAAGGTGATTATTTTGACATTGAAAGTGTAAATGTTTTACTTGCTTTTTCATAATCAAAATTCACAATGTTAAGATACTTTCTACGGAAAAAATTTTTTCACAAAATTCCAACCCCGTGAATTTCTCTCAACTTTAAATGGATACCCCTATTTTTGGGTGGAAAAAAGTAATGATCCCTAGCGGGAACCAATAGTAAAAATATAGTTAAAAATTTGAAAAAATTCCAGTGAATACATTCTTCGATATTAAGTATAAAAACCAAAAAACCGACCACATAACCTACATACAACACAGTAATCTCGACATTCTAAAACACTTAAAAGTCAACGTATAATGGGATTAGAGTTGTTTGAAAAATATTTTCGTCAACTCACATCAGCGATTAAAATTTTCTTTTATGCTTGACTGAAAGCCAATAAAATTTGCTATAAAATATTTCAAGTCGACCTTCCTGAAAAAATTATCTTTCGAGCTAGGTAATAAGCAATATACAACACGGCAAAAAAGGACCATTCATGGGGTAATATGAGAGATTTTTGCCACCTCGTATATTCTTCACTCCTTCACACGATAGATAAATTTTTTCAGAAAATTTGAACAACTATATCTTGTAGCAAATTTTATTGGCTTTCAGGCAGGCATAAAAGTGTAACCAATTCTTATATCAAAAAAATAAAAAAAAATTTTTGAAATAAATTACCCCTATTTCTCGTTGAAATCGAGATGTCTATATTCCGAAGAAAAGAGTAGATATTGGAACAATCTTTCTCTATACTAACTTCTTATGACTAAACATCTTTATAAAAATTTTGTGGATTTTTTTCTTAATGATTAAAGTATTTTGTAAATAGGGATCATTACTTTTTTCCACCCAAAAATAGGGGTATCCATTTAAAGTTGAGAGAAATTCACGGGGTTGGAATTTTGTGAAAAAATTTTTTCCGTAGAAAGTATCTTAACATTGTGAATTTTGATTATGAAAAAGCAAGTAAAACATTTACACTTTCAATGTCAAAATAATCACCTTTAAAAAATTTCCATACCCAGGGATCAATACTTTTTTCCTGTAGTGTAGTCGATTTAAATTGTTGTAGAACTTTTTGTTCACCCTATTTTTCCACTCAAGGCTAACATAAATATATCCCTTATTTTGAATGTCGAACACTTTTTAGCTTAAAAAATATTTTTAAAAATAAACATTTTTATGTCCTTTTAACTTCAAAAAATGTCATTTTTAATTTTTTTGCAAAGAAATTGACGATTAAATAAAATTCCCTTGCGACAAACATTTTCTTACAAATAAAAACATATTCCTCTCTTTTAGTAAATCTCATCTTTCCAATATTTTTTTCTACTCATTTTCAGCCTTTTTTCCATTACATCTTCAAAATTCCCAATGGTGCATTTGCCCTTATTTTTACGTAAAAAAATAAAAATTTAACGGTAAAAATGCCGCCTATCCAAGAAAAGGAGCTTTTAAATTATGGGAAAATATACTTATATCCTCTATCCATAAAACATTTTCAAAACATTTCAATTTAAAAAGGACAAGTGCCACATAATGCTACGCTTACATAAAAAACGCAAGACGCCGGCGGAAGACGCTCGGCGTCAAGACGCCGGCGGAAGACGCAGTTTCGTGCTTACATAAAATCGGCGTCTTCCGCTAAGCGGGAAGACGCAAAGCGTCAAAACGCTAGTTTTATGTAAGCACAAAACTGCGTCTTCCGCCGGCGTCTTGACGCCTAGCGTCTTCCGCAAAAAGCTGCGTTTTTTATGTAAGCACTAATTGCGTACTAAATTTGTAACAAATATTTTATTGAAATTAAATTGAACAAAAAATATTAAATCATTTTATCCTGCCATGATACCGATCCAACTTCATGGTAAAATATTCTAATTAGAGGTCGGCGCGGGACGGGATCCCGACGGGATTTTCCGGGATCCCGTAATCCCGGATTTTTGTGATTGTCGGGATCATTCGGGATCCGGGATTTTTTCGGGATTTATCCCTCGGGATCACGTCACGGCATCGGTTAAGAAAAAAATCCCGACTCGGGATCCCGGACTTTTTTTTTAATTTTCGGGATTTTCGGAAGACTTTTGCTTAAGGATCTTTAAATTTTTCAAAATTTTCGCCTGCGGCGCTGAAAAAGGAAGAAATCTAGTTACTTGGCCTCCGAATTTCTCAAAGCTGAAAAGGAAGACTTATGTGTATATCGGAGAATTTGAATTGAGTTAAGTGGATTTAGTGATATCCGGATATTTCAAGGGATCCAAGGAACTAGAACTAACTTGGAACAAGTTCCCGGGCCCGAATATAGGTCCTATAAAATAGAAAAACCATAGGGGGGACCAAGCTGAATTTCTAGCTACGCTTACATAAAAAACGCGCGCGTCTTGCGGCAGAAAAGATAATGGGAAATGAGGAGAGTAAAAGACGCCGGCGTCTTGACGCTTTTTTTGAGTGCTTACATAAACTGCGTCTTCCGCCGGCGTCAAGACGCCGGCGTCTTGACGCTTTTTTTGCGTGCTTACATAACTCGCGTCTTCCGCCGGCGTCAAGACGCCGGCGTCTTGCCGCTTTTTTTGAGTGCTTACATAAACTGCGTCTTCCGCCGGCGTCTTGACGCCGGCGTCTCTTTTTTTAATTCAAACATGTTTGAATTTTTTGCGGCAACTTTTAGCGTCTTGATCATTTCTCGGCCAATTCTAATCCGATTTTCAAAATTTAAAAAGATTTTGAAAATTCAATTCATTCTCTATCGATCAATATAAATTTTATATTTTTAAAGTTAAATTTTATGGGTTAAAATTGATTTTGAAAAAGGTATACCTTTTGCAAAAAATATTATTTTTTTTCGGCAATATTCGGGTTCGGGATCCGAGCTTACATAAAACTAGCGTTTTGACGCTTTGCGTCTTCCCGCTTAGCGGAAGACGCCGATTTTATGTAAGCACGAAACTGCGTCTTCCGCCGGCGTCTTGACGCCGAGCGTCTTCCGCCGGCGTCTTGCGTTTTTTATGTAAGCGTAGCTACACTTGGCCTCCGAATTTCTCAAAGCTGAAAAGGAAGACTTATGTGTATATCGGAGAATTTGAATTGAGTTAAGTGGATTTAGTGATATCCGGATATTTCAAGGGATCCAAGGAACTAGAACTAACTTGGAACAAGTTCCCGGTCCCGAATATAGGTCCTATAAAATAGAAAAACCATAGGGGGGACCAAGCTGAATTTTTCACACATATGAGACATCTCAAAAATATCGAAAAAAGCAATCCCGGAGAATCGTGGTCCCTGCGAAAAAAAAAGTTTAAAAATAAGAAAAAGGGTTTTTCTAGGGTAAAAAAATATGCTGAGTACGAATCTGAACTCAAATTTTGAAAAAGTCGGATCCCGAACCCGAATATTGCCGAAAAAAAATAATATTTTTTGCAAAAGGTATACCTTTTTCAAAATCAATTTTAACCCATAAAATTTAACTTTAAAAATATAAAATTTATATTGATCGATAGAGAATGAATTGAATTTTCAAAATCTTTTTAAATTTTGAAAATCGGATTAGAATTGGCCGAGAAATGATCAAGACGCTAAAAGTTGCCGCAAAAAATTCAAACATGTTTGAATTAAAAAAAGAGACGCCGGCGTCAAGACGCCGGCGGAAGACGCAGTTTATGTAAGCACTCAAAAAAAGCGGCAAGACGCCGGCGTCTTGACGCCGGCGGAAGACGCGAGTTATGTAAGCACGCAAAAAAAGCGTCAAGACGCCGGCGTCTTGACGCCGGCGGAAGACGCAGTTTATGTAAGCACTCAAAAAAAGCGTCAAGACGCCGGCGTCTTTTACTCTCCTCATTTCCCATTATCTTTTCTGCCGCAAGACGCGCGCGTTTTTTATGTAAGCGTAGCATAATATAATTTACTTTAATTTACTAGACTTCGATCATTTCCGGGGAGTTTCTTTTCATTACCTCTAAGATTATCAGTGTTACTGTTTCAACGGAGTGTCACAGAAAAAGTACAAGTTTAGAGAAGATTTTGCCATAAGGAGAGGGAAGGGAGTCTCGAAAATATCAAATTCATCGACTTTTAGGTACAGCTCCTGTTGAAGCCGAGAAACTTAAATAATTTTGCAAAATATATATCTTATTTTCGGGAGCTATCATAACAAAGTCGATGATTTTGATTTCGAATAAATCTGCTTTTAATCAGAGTTTTTTAAATAAATTATCATTTTTAATATTTTGTTAAAGAAATACATATTTCACAATTTTAATTGATAAAGGAAAGAATAAATAAATAATTTCAATTGATAATTAAAAACCAAAAAATATTTTCATAATTTAAAGAATTTCCTTTCTTTTTCAATAGAAAGTTTACTTTATCTGTTCCTTTCTTAAAAGTTTATTTAAACTTTTTGGATAATTAATTAAAATTTATTAAAAACAACTGACCTTTCTCTTTTTATTTTTTTTTTCTATTTTTAATCATTTAAAAACAACAAAAACATTTGTTTTTAAATTAAAAAATGTTTCTTTTTCTTGTTCAAATCCAAAGGATTATTTTCTAAAAAATTCTTTTTTTTTTTTCAGGGTTTATTTAAACCAAAAACCCTTTAAACAAAATGACTATTAAAAATCAACTTACAACATTTTCTTCAGATAAAGTAAAAGTTGCCGTTAGAGTACGTCCTCTACTTTCCAAAAAAGGTAAGAAATTTCAAAAAAAAAATTTTTTTTAATTTTTTTTTCAGAAAAAACCAAAAATGTTGTAAAAATCTCCAAAAATTCAATTATTCTTTCACATCCAAACGATGTTGATTCTACAAACACAAAACAATTTGGTTTTGATTTTTGTTTTCCTTCTACTCAACAACTAGAATGTAAATAAAAAAATTTTTTTAATTAAAAATTTTGAGGTTTTCCTTTTTTAGACTTGATTAACGTTACCTTATTTTTATTTAAGAATTCCCCTATTCCTTTGGTTCTTTTTTGACCATAGACTTTTCTTTTGTTTTATTTTTCCTTTTCTTTTATAAGGATATATTCTCCAATTTTCAAATTTAATTAAATTTTAATTCCCAAACTTTCCTCATTTTTCTAACAATTCTTTTTAGTCAATCCAAACATTGCCAGCACTTCTTCCTCTTCATTCAATTCAACTTTATCTTCCCAACAATTTAATACTAATTTATTGGAAGGAACACAAGAACATTTATTTGAAACAATTGGAATTGATGTAGTAAATAATGCTTTTTGTGGATTTAATACTTGTGTTTTTGCTTATGGACAGACTGGTAAGGGAGGGGGGGGGGGAGAAATTTTTTTTCTTAATTTTTCAAGGTTCTGGAAAGTCATATACAATGATGGGAACAAAAGAGGAGCCTGGTATTTATTTAAATTTAAAAATTTGTTTAAAAAAGTTTATTTAAAAGGTTTAATTCCTCGTTTATGTAAAGAACTCTTTCAACGAATTAATCAAAATTTAAGCAATATTAAAGTGGAAATTTCTTTTTATGAAGTTTATAATGAAAGAATAAGGGATTTGTTGAGGTTTGTTTTTTTAATTATTTGTTAAACACGGAATATTATTTTGTTTTTATTTAAGAGGCGTGGAGTTGTTTTTCTTTTACTTTTTTAGGGCGGTAGGACGGGGAAGGGGGAGTGGATAATTGAGCTGATGAATAGTTACTGTTGGTATTTCCCCTCACTTTAATACTCTAATTCTTTATTGGAATATTTATCTGCCCCACTATTTTTGATTTAGAGGCATCTCCAATTAATCACGCACTTCCAAATTTAATACAATTCCTTAATTTATTCCAGCAGTCTCTAATTTAAAAAATCATTTAAATTTCCATTTTTAGCAACTCAAAACTTTTAAAAGTCCGAGAACATTCCCTTCTTGGTCCAATAGTTGAAGGTCTTTCAATCTTTCAAGTTACTAATGTTGAACAAATTGAACGATTTATTTCAATTGGGAATAGACAAAGAAGTACAGCAGCCACTTTAATGAATGAACAAAGTAGTAGAAGTCACAGGTTTTTTCTGTTTTTTAAAAAGAATAATTGTTTTTTAGTGTTTTTTCAATTAAATTGACTCAAATAGTTGTTGCTGTAGAAGATAAAAATGTGAGGAAAAAAATTATTCTTTATTTAAATTTATTTTTAGTTTACGGGAGAGACGGTTAGCAAAATTTCGCTTATTGATTTGGCTGGAAGCGAAAGAGTTCAAAAAACAGGTTTAATGAGAGACATTTTATTTCTGTTAAAATTTTGGTGAAGACATATCAGAAAAAATTTTCTTATCTCACATCATTTTATAGTTTACCCGTGGGTTGGCGGGTTCGGATCCGAAAGAATAGGATATACTTTTAATTTTCTAGAATTCGGCACCCCTGTGAGAAAATAACGAAAGAGAAGAAAAATAAACTTGCAAAAAATCAGGACTTAATGTTAAATTAAAAAAAATTTTTTTGAAAATCTGTGGGATGAGTTGCTTTCAATTATATTAATACTAATATTTTAAGGTGCAATAGGAAAGCGTTTAGAAGAGGGTTCAAACATTAACAAATCATTAACTGCTTTGGGGAAGGTTATTGCTGCTCTAGCTTCAAATAAAAACAATGGAAATACGACACAACCAAAAGGAGGAACGAATAATAAATATTTTGTGCCGTATAGAGATAGTGTATTAACTTGGCTTTTGAAAGAAAATTTGGTAAAAATTAAAAAATAATTTTTTTTAAAACTTGGGCAAAATGTCCCTCAAATTTGCAAAAATGTTAAAAACAATTTTAATTTTGCAGGGTGGAAATAGCAGAACAACAATGATTGCAACAATTTCCCCTTCTTCTGAACATTATGAAGAGACTTTGTCTACCTTGAGGTTTGCTGATAGAGCTAAACGTATTCAAACAAATGCTGTTGTTAATGAGGTTTTGATTAAATTATTTTGAATTTTTTTAAATTTATTTTGGAGAATTAAAACTGATTTGTTCCCCAAAATTTCTGGATAGAAATTAAATTTATGAAAATATGCAAATTTTTGTGACATTTTTCAGGATCCAAATGCCAAAATAATTCGAGAACTTCGCGAAGAAGTTGAAAGATTGAAAAAATTAAACGAAACAACACAAGAAAAACAACAAGAAGTTTTACAAGAAGCAATGGCACTTATAGCAGAACAACACAATAAAGAAAAACAATTAGCTTTGGAAAAGCAATACGAAGAATTTTCTGAATATATTAGGGAATTGTTGATTAATACACAAGTTTGTTTTTAAATTTTTAGGTTGGAGCGGAATTTTGATAGAAAATTAATTTTTTAAATATCTTGTCTATACTTGTAAACTAATCGTTCGAAATGAGTCCAAAAAAATTTTACATTTTAGAAGAGAGTAACTTTCCCTTACCATTAATTGAGGCTAATTTACTATTTTCAGTCTTCTCCATATCCTTCAATAGCAGCAACCCCCTCCGGACAATTTAATGTTTTTTCTCAATTTTGTGATAATGGAAATATTAAAAACGACAAAAATAAATTTTTGGAGTGGGCTAATGAAAGGTTAGTAATTTTTATTTAAATAGTGACTTATCTCTTAAAAGTCTATTAAAAGCAAATGTTTCAATTAAGTAGTTTAACAAAATCTTGGTTTCCTTATGAATTTAATTTTTAAATTTAGAAATCAATTATTCACAGCTAGACTAGAATATTTACAAAATTTAATTCAACAAGCAAATAAACTTTGTTCTGATGCAAATCTTTTATCAGAAATGTTTGCAAGAATTTTTAGAAAAAATGCTCGAATATATTATTCTGTTAATTTGCATATTCCAATAAATAATTTGAAGCCGTCTTTTTTGAATTTTAAGGTTTAATTAATTTTTATTTTTTTTTTTAATTTATATAAAATTTAAGAATTTTCGAAAGAATTCATCAAATAATGAAGAGGAAGAAGAAAATAATAATTATGAGTATTTTAACTGTATTTGTGAACCTGTTATTTTGGCTGTATGGGGGCAAATAAACAAAAATAATAAAAATTGTTTTTCTAAAGAAGTTGCTAATGGATCTTTTCAACAATTTAGTATTGAGGAAATTAATGTAAGGGGGGTTTTGATAAAAAATATTTTTTAAATTTTTTCTAAAATTTTCTAGTTAAAATTAGAAGAAATGAGAGAAGCAATTTCAACAGTTTCATTAAATTCTGGTTTAACAACAACAAATGATGGATTAAATAAATGGGATGAATTGGAGGAATTGGAATGTAATTGCAATAAACGTTCATTTATTTTGGTAATAATTTAAGAATTGTTTAGGAAAAATTTTTTTTAATTTTTCTCTTCAGTGGAACGAATTTAAATTTTAAAATCAGGCTTAAAAAGGAATTTAATTTTAAATAATTTTTCCAAAAATGTTTTTTGACTCATAATCACTCCAAACAACAAATTTTTTCTTTCAAAAAATATTTTAAAAATTAATTTTTTAGCAAAAACAAAGTCTTGTCGGCGTTGCAAATGTTTATTTGGGTGCTTTATTACACAATTTAACTTCTCCAATGCAAACCCAAGTTTTGATTATTAATCAACAGGGAGAGATTAGCGGTAAGAATTAAACAATAAACACTCTAAAAAAGTAATTTTTAAAGGAAAACTTTTTGTCCAAATACACAAAACTACTTTGTTAAGTACTAGTGAATCTTCAGAATCTATGGAATTTTCTGATAAAGAGGAGGCAGAAGATGTTATTTTGGAAGAATTAAATCAAGAAACTGAAAGACAATTACTTGGTCAAACTATTGTTGCGAAGGTTTGGAAAAATAATTTTTTGTGAGAAAATATAAATTATTGGAAATGCGGTTCATTCCTTTTATGGTTGTTTTCGAATCATGATCGAATTTTCGAAACTACATAATCCCACCTTTTTATATTAGTGTTTCTCTAATTAAAAAAAAAGAATCGGAAAATTAAGAAAAAGACAAGCTATAAATAAATCCAATTATTTTTATTTTTTTAAGGTAGAAATTTTAAAAGCAACAAATTTGCCTTTAAATCAATCTCACCTTGTTTTCTGTCAATATTCATTTTTTGATCAACCACATTTAATAATTCCAAGTATTACAAATGTAGAAGATACACAAAATTGTAGCGATACTCCAAACTCTTCAGACGTTTATTTTAACTCGAAAAATGTTAGCAAAATTTAAAAAAAAAACTTATTTTGGGTTATACAGTCCAGCCTTTTCCCAAGAGTAGTTACACTTCTATTTAAAATAAATTTTTTAGTGTTTTGTTCACACCTAATTAGATATACCACTCATTTTGGGGTCGATTTTTTGGTCCCAAGGGTTATTTAAAAACCGGATTTGCTTTATTAAAAAATAATTTTTCAAGGAATTTGAATTAGTTTTTACACAAACATTTTTGGATTACATAAAAGAAGATGCACTTTCCATAGAAGTTTGGGGACATAAACAACCTTTAGATGAAGAAGAAATTGAGGAAAGACAACAAAAAGAGAAGAGTTATTTAAATAATTTTGTTGAACAAAAAATACAGACACTTCAAGAACGCTGGAAAGAAGTTACTAAAAGATTGGGTAAAAAATTTTGAATGAAAAAATATAAAAATTCGTAATATGACACGGGGAAAGTAAAAAAAGCGATGTTTGCTACATTTACTATAATATTTTACTTAAGAAACTTTTGGGTTTTGAAAAGTTTTTGTAATTTTAGTTTTATTATTTTTGGACTTGGGGATTTCATTAAAACAGCACCTTAATCACTCTAATTATTTTATTTGTCAGTAAATGTTGATAAACAAAAAAAACAAATTTATATGCCTTCCTATTAATTTTAAATTTATTTCAGAATTATTTTGTGAGATTCTCGAATTGAACGATGTTGGAGAATATATTCCAGTTAATGTAGATACAGAAAATGATTGTGGAAGTGGAGGGATTTATCGGTATTTTTTTGAAATTTTTGAGAATTTTTTACTAATAAATTATTTTCATAAAGACTTCGACCCGGCCAACAACGCCGTCTTCGTCTAACAATATCTTCTCTTGAGGAAAATGGTGGTTATTTACCTTTACATTTGGAAGATGTTTGTTCAGTTTCTATTGGTTCTATAATTTTAAATGAAGGAAAAGAAGGAAATACAAAAAAATTATTGGATAGTTACCAAGAAAATGATTTAATTAAAATTGGAAATCTTTGGAATAATTTACTTTTAAAAAGAGAAGAATATTTACAAAAAGAATTGAAGTCTTTAAATAATTTTGAAGAAAAAGAAAGAGAAAATTCTTTATTTTTATCTTGGATAGAATTAATTGAAGAAAGAAATGCTTTGTCTTTACCTACAAAAGAAGGAATTCCTGGGGCTTTAATTGATTTAATTAATTTGGAAGGGTTTGAAAAATATTGTCCAATTATTTTTTTGGATAGAAAAGGTTTTTATTTTAAATTAAAAAATTAAATTAATTTTTTTTATTTTTTTAAAGACGAAGATGAAATTAATTTAAATGAGGAATGTGAAGACGAAAATTTGTCTATTATTGGAGAAGATTGTTTCCTTTTGGGTGAAAATAATGAAGAAGAAAATGACAATTTGGAATTGGTTATTACAGAGAAGGATATAAATCAAGTATATTTTTTTGGGGTTTTTATTTAACTGTAAAAGGCTCTTTCAAATTAAAGTTCTAACCTCCTTCGTAGGAATGTCTTTTGCATTTCCTTTATTCAAATATGGCAGGGCTGGGCTTATTTCGCACTTTCGCGTTTCGCATCTTTCGCATTCTCGCATTTTTTGGCGCGAAAAGTTTCGCATTTCGCTTTTTATTTTTTCTTTACGCCCAGCCCTGAAATATGGCCTTTGTTTTTTCTGGTATTGTTGTGGGTAAATGAATTATAGAAGATGGGGGGGGGGGTGTCTAAGTCAGGGCTATTAGCATGATCTAAAGGGAGAAGATGAAACTTCTGGTCCTATCATTGTTTTTCATTAGCCTCTGCTGGCTTTTTATATTTCTTAATTTAATTTTTTAGACTCGCCTTTCTGTAATATGTCCGTGGGATAGCTCTCTACATGAATGTTCAGCAATGAATCGAGAAACAAAAATTGGGGAATATATTTATGTTATTGTTAAGGTTTTATAAAATAATTTTTTTAATTTACCTTCTTTCTAGGTTTATATTAAAATATCCCAACCAATCAACGCTTGTTTAGTTTTGAGAAAACGTTTATGTCTTCAATTTATTTCTTTTGAACAACGTTCTCAAAATTTATCAACAACACCTCGTTGGCATTCCCTTTTCTTTTCTTCTTGGCCTTTAAATAAAAATGGTTTGGAATTTTATATAATTATTTTCAAAAACATCTAAACCTTTCCAATAAAACTTCCTCTACAATTAAAAATTTTTTAGAATTAAACGAAAACCAAAATGAAAATGAAGAAATAATTAAAAAGAAGAAAAACGTATTGGAACGGGACTTTTTGTTGATATAATTGGTTGTATACCAAAATGTACACTCGAAATGGAAAAGCGTGAAATACTTGCAGAATTAGCCATTAAAAATATTAATCTAGAAGAAACTAATGAAGAAGAAAAAGAGGAAAAAGAAGAATTTATTGAAGGAATGGAAAGACAACAACCAATTAAATTAAATAAATATTTGACTGAATATCTGTCAAAAACTATTCAAAATGTTGAATGGCTAATTAAGGTGAAGAAAATTAGACGAAGTTTTAGGGGCTGGATTTAATGTTTAGTCTATAACGTATAAAATAGTTTTAATTTAAAATCAAACTGAAGAATTTTCATAAAAATTCCTCATCGATACCAACTTTTTAAAATTTAAGAGATTCTAGTTGGGTATTGTTTAAGTTCTAGTAAAAATTTGTTCGTGATCTTTTTCTTGACCAAAAATATTACTGAAAATTATTAGATCAAAAATTAAAAAATCTTTTTAAAAAATTATAAGCTTTAAAAATTTACTTGTTGTAATCTACGCTTCTCTCCTTCCCTTAAAATATTTTTTATTTATAGATGGATAGACTACGACAAGAAGAAGCAATTAATTCATTAATATCCAAATCAAAAAGAATTTATTTAAAACCAAGTTTAAGTTCTTACAACACAACAATGGAAAATAATTTTTTATTGTCTTCACAGATGAAGAGAACAATTTCGTTGCCTAATAAAATAAGCAATGTTGGTAGAATTTAAATTTTTTTAGCTTAATAAATTATTAAATGAACTTTTAAAAATTATTTTACTCTTGTAAAAGGGAAATTTCGCTTTTTGAGGGGGTTGTCTTTGATTTTGTTATTTTTTTGATTTTTTATTTCCGTAAAATGTTAATTTAGAAATTTTTTCTAATTTTCTTTCTAAATTTTAGTGTTTTACACCACCTTCAAGTTCTTTTAATAAAACTTCAAATCAACACAAAATAACACAAAAACAATGCAAAATTAACAACAATAAATATTTAATTAATCGACTTCCCAAAAGTCAAAGTCAAAATGAAGGATTTAATTTTGTTGATTCTCCTGACTCTCCAAATTCTTCTGGTTATGCTTCTTTAGGTATATATTACACCAATTAATTTAAATTAAATTTAAAATCAATTTTATTTTTTAAAGCAAGTAGCTCTGCTGGACAGTTTAATTTGCGTCTAACTGGAATTGAAGAAGAAGAAAATCAAATGAATGTTTCTGCTGCTGGTGATTATTTTAATAATTAAAGAGAAAATTAGGGAATCTCTGTAAACAAATGAGATCTTTTCTTGCATTTTCTGTCTCTCCTTTTTCTAGATAATGGATTATAATATAAAAATTATTTTTTCTTTTTTAGTTTCTTCACATTTAACAACAAATAATAAAAAAGAAGAAATTACTAATGTAAATACTTGTTGTGAAAATAAACTCTTTTCTCCAACAACGACAACAAACTTCTTTCAAACAAATACTAGCAGCAATTGTCAATTAAATATTTCAACAAAAACTTATTTTAATAACAACAGTAATTTCTTTGCAAATAAAAAGAAGTGTAAAAGAAAACAAATTGATAACAATTTATTTTCAAATAGAAATGACGAATTTTTATTTAATTAGGAAGAAATAAAATCGAGAAAGTACACTTTTTTGCTTACGGACACAACTATTCCATATAGTGAATATTTGCAATTAGTCTTATCTGAATCCTGATGTAAATATGCCCCCATATCAAGGTCTTCGAGTGGGTAGTCAATGTGGAAACTAAAAATAAATTTTAATTTATCTTTACTCCCTTTTATTGATATTTTACTGCTTAGTCGTCGTTTGCCTCTTAAGTCGAATGACGAGAAGATCTGGCAACATCCAGATATGGGTACTTAGTGTGTTTTTGTTGCTGCAGTTGATGCAGGGTACAATCAATGGGTTTGAGCACCTGTCCAACAAGTTGACGATATTTTCATTGTCATCATCTGGCTGGAGTAGTGGTAAACAAATTCCGAACTTAAACAAAAATATGATTAAAGTTTTTTACATATCAAATTTCCAATTTTTAAATTAAATTATTCTCTTTCGATATATATAAGTAGGGCTATTTTATAAAATAGGTGATTTGGAAATAATAATTTTTTACCTCATTTGAATTGGCGGTAATTCTGTCGGCTGGAATTCCTATCAGCCTTAAAAAATTATCAGCGTTAAAAAATTATCAGCGTCCATCAGCTTTAAAAAATTTATTTTTTAAATTAAAATGGAAATAACACAAGAAATTTAAAGAAAGTTAATAACGCTGATAGTATTTTAAAAAAAACGCTGATAAGATTTAATAAAAACGATTCTTTAAAAGTCCGCAAGAGCCCCTCAGCCTTCTTAGTTTTTAACGCTGATAGGATTTAATTTAATTTACCTATTTCTTTTCAGTAAAAAAGTGATTAAGAATAAGAAAGGAAGTTAGACAGTAAAAGGTTGTATATATTGTTCTAATATTGTAAATATGTATAAGCTAAATAATTTTTTAAAGAATAAAGAGATTAGATATGAATGAGAAAAAATAGGCAATATAAAGGAGAAATCTTAGAGAGATATTTTTAAATAAAAATTTAAATAATTTACGTGTTGTTGGAATGTTTTTGTGTTTTGAGAGCAGATTGAACAGTTATAAGTTTTTGTAATAACGACGTGGAATAGTTCACTAATGATGGAGGAGGCATATCTGTGCTGGGTTGCTAAATATTGCATTGCACAAACACATAGTATCATTTGAAGTGTCATTTTTTAGACCAAAGTCAATCGGATATGTTCCCTATATTTTCAAAGGTAAATAAAAAATTTGGCACCCTTTAGTTATGCTACACCCCAATTAGTCCAGTAACGATGGTCTTAAATATATACCCATCACTTCGTTCGTCTCACTTTAGGGTAAGGTTTTATCGCTAAATAATTGTTTTTTTCACTCGCTAATAATCAGTTTAATATTTAATAGTTTGTAAATTAGTTACAAATTTATCACTTATAATTTCCAATTAACCAAACAGTCAATATTTAATGTATATTTATATTTTTGGGGATATATACAGTAGAAAGATGGGAGGATACTTAAACACATCTTGTATTTAGGGTACAGCACAATTTTTTCAGCCCTTGGAAAAGAATCCAATTTTTGAAAAATAAAAATTCATTTTACAAGCCCGTAAAGAGACCTAAAGATAAACCCAATATACTTCTTTTTAGTCTCCATGGAAAAGATAGGGAGGAGAGTTAAAATAAGAGAATAGACTGGATTTGTTTAAAACAATAAAAATTATATTAATATTTTTAAAATTAAAAATTTTTAAAATTTTACTTGCCCTATTGACATCTTTTGATAATTTCTTTATCAATGAATGAACAAAAAGGGAGCATCATGTTCTTTATATCCAGTCGTTCTAGCAAAGATACCTAAAATAAAAACTTCTAAAATTCTCCTACTTTTAGTTATTACCATAAGTCTAAGTGTATAAATAAATTGAAATTTTCTTGACCAATAGGCAACAAATAAAGCACTGACAGCTCCAGTCAGTGGACCATTCGTAGATTTACAATGAATCTGAGTGCATTTTTGTAATATAAAGAGCAAATGCACTGAAGTAGCCCAAAATATGAACCAAAATATGCCAAATTTCCTAAAATACGAAGAAAAATAGCTAATATTTGCTTTAAATCAATATTTTAAGTAAAAAACACAGATTCAACTTTTAAAATTGCAATTTAACAGTACTACTAAAAGATTTTATTGAATTAAAATTTCTGTAAAAGATGAATAAAATTTTCCCAAAAAATTTTTCGAAAAATTTTCTTGACCAAAAAAATTCAACATTTTGAAAATTTTGTCCAAATTTTTTCCAGGATTAAAAAAGCCGAAATATGAACGAAAATATGCAAAATTTCCTAAAATATGCAAGAGAGGGCCGAAATATGGAAATATTTGCATTAAGAACCGGGTCCTAAATTGATCGAACAATGTAAAAACACCATTTCTATGCCTACTGATTTCTATGCCCTATTGATAAAATAATATAGAAAAAGGGCACTACTAAGACTGGACCTTCTGCGGAGTTAATTTTCCAAACTTATTTAATATATCGTCAAAGGTTTCTTATGTTTCTATATTAAATATTGACATTTCATTACTTTTCAGGCAATTCAAAAAGCCCATCAGTCTTTATTAGTCCCGAAAAGGTGATTAAAGGATAAGAAAAGGAGTTAGAGTGAAGTGTCTGTTGTTAATTATTGTGAGGTGATATTGTTCTAATAATGTAAATATATGTTAAATAATTGTTTTAAAGAATAGAGGTAAGTATATGTGAATAATTAAATATGGGTGAGAGAAAATAGGCGATATGAAGGAGATAAAGAAATGAAAGATATTTTTAAATAAAAAAATAATTTACTTGTTGCTGGAATACTTTCAATTTTTGAGAACAAACACTACAATCATATGATTTAGGGGTAATTGAGTGAAACAAATAAGAAATTATAGACGAGGCAAAACCATGCATTGTCGACAAATAATTAATACCACATTTTTTCATATTATCATTTAAAACATATTCTTTTCTACCATCATCAATTGTATTTACTTCCTTTAATTTACAAAGTAAACAAATTTGGCACATTTCGGTTATGCTACACCCGATTTTAGTACAATAATTACCAAAAACTACTATAAATGCATAAACATAAATGTATGTTGATAGTCGTAAATTACTTAAGGAATTTATATAAATATTAAAGCCCTTCCCACATAACCTCATCCACTCCAATTTTTTGAGATGTTTTTTAAAATACACTGAACATAGGGACGCTTTACCTTAAGGGGCAATTTTTTCTAATTTGTTCTCTCATTAATACTCGTGCCAGTTTGATAGTTTATAAATTAATTACAATTTAATTAATTAAATTTATAAATTAATAATGGGAGGTACGGTCCATATTTATTTAACGAAATATATACAGGGTGCGGCAAAAGTTCCCGTACTTTTCTTAAGCATAAAATTTATAACAAATATTTTCTTAAATTTTATAAAATCTATAAAAAAGTGTTCATTACTATCTAAAGAAAAGAAAAATTATAATAAATGTCCAAATATATATTCCCTTCGCCAAGATATACGCGTTCAACCGCTAACTGAATTTGCCTACTATGGTCGCGCACTCATCCACAATAATTGAATCCCAGCCCAGTTGCAATCCCGTCTTTCACAACAGACGAAATCATGGGAATTGCTTTATAGAAAAGGCCTTGATTCTAAAATGGCTCAAAAGTGCCGCTTTACACCATCTGTAATCGCGTGGGCCGGGATTTGTGTCACTTGATCCCTAGGCACAAAAACAATGGATCCCTGGTCACAGCAACAGTGTGTTGGCCGGGGTTTTATGCCATTGCATCCCTGGGCACAACAACACTTCGGTAAAACCAATTTTATGTTGCAGCAAAATTTGGCCCCTTCATACTGGGCTAAAACAATGATTGACCTTCGCGAAGGGTTGTTTTCAGGATTTTGGGGCAAAGACATTTGGCCAAGTAACTCCACAGATCTGAATGCTATGGACACACAGTTTGGTCATGATTGAAGCAGAGACTTTCACGCATACGATTTACATAAACTTAGGCAATTAAGGGGAATTACAACAGGGCTGGGACTCAATTACTGTGGTTGATTGCGCGACCATGGTGAGCAAGAGCAGTAAGCATTTGAACGCGTGTATCTTGGTGGAGGGAGGATATTTTGAAGATTTGTTATAATTTTTCTTTTCTTTAGATAGTAATGAACACTTTTTCATAGATTTTATAAAATTTAAGAAAATATTTGTTATAAATTTTATGCTTAAGAAAAGTACGGGAACTTTTGCCGCACCCTGTACTTTGTGAGAAAAGCTTTAATGGTAGACAGATTGAAGAATATTTAAAACAGATCTTAATTCGCTTTAAACGAGCATATTAATTTATCATTTTTAAAATAAATATTTCGTTCCTATAAAAATTTACTCCTATGTTTTTTTATCTCATTTTAGTATACCACATATTTAGGGTACAATTAATTATAGGTTATATTCTTTTCAGCCCTTAAGAAAGAATCTAATGGCTGAAAAACAAAAATTCATTTTCTTACAAACACATATACATATGTAGATTTCTGAACAAACTAGTTTACATTTTCTAGTCTCATGGAAAAATAGGAGTGTTAAAATAAGATAATCGACTATACAT